GTAAATATATATGAACTCAAAACAGAACTTTTCAAAGATTTAAATGAAATGTTCTATCTCGAGAGAGATGGGCTTTCAAAACAGTAACAGTGGGAGGATCTAACATACCTCATTGGAAAGAAATTCCAACAGACAAAACAATTGTATACAGAGATCAGAGAGATCTCACAGGCCATTCCACACAATAGGAGGAAATTACTGATATTTCAGACTTCATATAAGAACTCAAGAATACATATTTTATCTGTAGATCTTTTGTGTCACAAAATCTCATGTTTCAAAGAGGTAAAAACTGAGAGCTTTTACTTTAGTTTTTCCCTTCCTTCCTTTTTCCTCTTCCTTTCTCTCTTCCTCCCTTTCTCCCTTCCTCCATCCCTCTCTTCTTTCCTCTCTTTTCCTCTCTTTCTTCCCTTCTCTCTTGTTCTCTTTCTCTCCATTTTTTTTTTTTTGAGACAGGATTTCTCTGTGTAGCCCTGGTTGCCTTGGATTCACTTTGTAGATCAGGCTGGCACAAACTTGCAGGCCTGTCTCTGCCTACTGAGTGATGGAATTAAAGGCATGGGCCATCACACCCGGCTTCTTTCTATCTCTTTTCCTATCTTTGCCTCTGTCTCTGTGTCTATCTGTTTCTGTCCCTCCTGTATGCACTCTATTCTAGTGGCTTTGTGTCTGTTCATGGTAATAGTTTCCATGTTCATCATTCTATTCGTCATCTCACGTTCTAAGAAACAACTGACTAACAAAAGCTGTGGCCACTTATGTAGCATTTTAAAAATGCTTTAGCACTATGCCTAATTTTAATATGTGTGCATATATGTATATGAATAGATATGCACATGTGTGAATAAAAGTGTTTTAAGGATATTTTTGATGACTGTAAGTACTTTAGGAAAAGCATGTGTTTCAAGTTCCTTATTTTAAGCAAACCGAGACAAAATTCAACTCTAAAAATTTGGAGTTAAATAGGGAAAAGAAAAAAGTTCTTTTCTGTGTACTGGTTTAAAGGCTTGCAAAGGCATCTTGAGGCTTACAGATGATCTTAGTGTTTTTTCATTATGGCGGAACTGTAATTTATCTTTTACAATGCACCTGGGGAAACAGCTCACTTCTGTGCTTTCATATCTTTAAAGAAAGACGACATAAGTTAGGCTAATAGCTATTAAACAACTAGCATGATACTACAAAGATAAATGGGTGACTCAAAAGGTAAAAAAAAAGAAAAGAAAAGAAAGGAAAAATAGAAATGCCTGATTTTCTTCCTACCTTTGATTTGCTTATAGATCCAAATGAGAAATTCATTTAAAAAAAATACAATTTCCAAGTGTTTATTATGAGAAGATTTAAATCTTGAGCAAATAGTTAATCAAGTTGTTAAGAAAATGTGGAACTATTAACATTCTTCCTGTATTGATAGTTGCTTAATATTTAAGATATTACATATATGTTTTCTATGTCTCAGATGCAGTGTTTGGGGATTCATTTGAAATATAGTTGCTTTATAAAGAAAATAGCCTCTTCTAAATTTTCTAGGGAAAAATAAGGTGGAAAGGAAACATCAAGTAAAACAAAGAGCTAGAAATACACTTACAATGTATTTCGGGTAAAGATTAAAGAAAAGGGTAATGCTTTTAGATGAGGAATTTTTTTTTTTTACATGAAGAGTTTGTCCTTCATGTAAAGGATTGATAATGTAAACAGAGGAGCACAGAATTGGGAGGTTAAAGCATACTTTGAAAAGATTGTGAAAGTCAAAACTTAAGGAAGGGTAAAATGATTATAAATAAACTGACTATAATGGAAGTTTATTAAACATTTTAAGGTTCAAAATCCAATTCTTGGAGATAAAGCTGCTGCCTTATTTTTTCAGTTGCAATTCTCAGATACATCTAGGTTTCTGTCTAGTTGAACTTACTAGCCATATAGGATAGCCTGGCACAAACCAAGCAAAAACATGAGACATCAAAGAAATAAAGCACAAAGCCCATATAATCATTTCAACAGACACACACAAAAGCATGCAATAATTTTATTTCCTGTCAGGATAAAAATCTCTGTTCAACAACTCAGACCTACAATAAACACACCTCAAAATACAGAAGTCATATATTTAAGAAAAGAGGCCATACTTCTACCTAATTGTATATGTTTTCAGCTTTTTCCCATGTTAGAAACAAGGAAAGGATTTCATCTTCACTACTCTTGTTTAATAGAGTACTGGAATTCCTAGCAGAAACACTTAAGGAAGAGAAAAATAAATAAATAAAAGGACTCTAAATTAGAAAGGAAGGCATTAATTATCTATGTTGGTAGATGAAAATTTCTATAGTTAGAAGCATCCAAACTTCGATCAAAATACAAAATCAACATACAAAAAATGGTAGAATTTTTACACTAATAGTAAAATTATTCGAAAAAAATTAAGAAAACAGTCCTTTCTCAATTTGTATAAAAATAGCAATAAGCGGGGCAATAAAATATCTCCAGTGAAAATTATGGAGCATAGACTAAAAAAGAAATATGGAGGACGTAAAAATGGAAGGATGTTAGGTGTCTGCAGACCAGAAGAATAACTATTGTCACATGGGGCTGGGGAGATGGTTCAGCACCATCGTGCGCATACTGCTCTTTCGGAGGATTCAGATTCTGTTTTTGGCACCCACGTCGGCCAGCTCACAATCACCTGTCATTTCATTATAAAGGAGCCTGACACTCTTTTCCGGCCTCCCTGGGCACGTATGTGGCATACATGCATGTGGTTGGGGTCGTACACATGTATAAACTAAAAATAATAAAGCACATTTTAAAACGTATTCTTAAAATGACCACACTTACTCGAAGAGGTATGGAGATTCGATGCAATTTTCATCAAAATAAATGTGCCTGGGTCTGGAGGTTTGGTTCTGCAGTCAAGAGCAGAGGAGCCTTCACATACATGAAGACACATAAATAGCAATAAATTTAAACAAACCGGTAAGTAAAAATGACTTTCTTCATAGGAAAAAAAAAAAAACAAACCCACAATCCTATAAGTCCGATGAAACCACAGAGGATCTAAGCAGCCAACATTTTATTGAGAAAAATAAAGAGATAAGCTCCAAACAAATGAACAAAACACCACGCAGCGGAAGGACTCTTGAGTCAGGAAAGGAAATATAAAGGGTTTTTTCTAGCTTCAACTCTTTCATGGTTAATGGGGAGGTGCACACAGCCATGGTTGACAGTAAAAGTGTAACAACTTTCACCCAGAGTGTCACAGCCTCAGAACAGTTGTTCTAGGCAAATGGAAATTTACTTGGATATATAGAGTCTGAGGCTGGGCAAAGGTTTGTTTGAGTGGCTATGCTGATTTGTCTGTGTTTATTGGTGAATCTAGTATAACAAAGTGGTCTTTATATTTAAAATACATATGCACGCGCACACACACACACACACACACACACACAATGTGTCAGTACCACGGCACTTTATAACGCTGTAGTGTGTAACCTTTTGGGATCACCAATGTACTGTGACCCCCCTCCCCTCAGCCATACCACAGCTTGTGAGTGGCACGCTGCCTTTTGGACCACCGTCCAAACCATCCTTTCAGGGTGTCCTTCCGCATTACACCTGGAATGAACCCTGGGAAATAGAAAGTAGAAGGTATCAGCTAACACTGAAAACAGCACAAGCATTTTCAGCAGCCTAAGGGTTCACACCACAGTTAAGGTTCGTAGTCAGAATTCTTTAAAACAGTCCTTGCAGACGCTTCCTGATCCAGCTGGTGTGCAGAAGTAAACCAGCAGGACCAGAAGAATAAAGCTGGAGCATTTCATGACGTCACTTGGAAACAAGAGTCCCCTGTGCTCTTCACGGCCACAAGCAACACGCGGTTCTTCAGCCATGTTATCAGTGTGAGATGGGGGCGGGGGGGGGGCAGATCTTATTTTACTGCTTCTGTGTTTCCTCCAGCTGTCAGGCAATACTTCCTGAAACTGTTTCTCAGAGCAGACAGCTTAGTGGTCACAACAGACATTTCAAACTCAGTATTTTTTTTTTTTTTTTTACCAACATCCACTCTTTTTTAGCACTCAAATTCCAATTCTCAGTTCAAATCATCAATCTTGTGTAGGATGAGCAAAATTATTAGAAACACATGGAGTCAGAGAGGCACCGAACCCAGGAACATCGATGGCATTTGAAAAGTGTAGATATATATAATACATATTTACTAAAATAAAATGCTAATATTATATGTTATATATTATGTAATTGTATATATGTGTTTGTGTGTATATATATGTATGTGTATATATATATAATGCAAGTTTGAGGATATCAGTCTTGAATTCCCATTTGGTTCTGGTGGAGAACAATGGAAGTGCAAAACTGACTGGCAGTGGAGGTGGACAGCAGTGTGTGTGTGTGTGTGTGTGTGTGTGTGTGTGTGTGTGTGTGTCCCTCTGCCCACAGCTTGCCTGCCTTTCACGCCTCCAGCTGCAGAGTCGCTGCTCTCATTCTGTCCTAGAGTCTGTGAGCTGGCATGCCAACTTAGAAGGCCAGGACGGAAAATCTGAACAGCCAAACCGCTTTCAGAAGAATATACAAGCAACCAGCAGATAAAGTATTTTCTAGTGGAAACTTAATTGTTAGGTTAAGAAAGGGGTTGGCGTCTTCCTACCTCAGGAGTAGAATTCAAGAAGAGAGGCGCTCACTAATTCAAAGTCATATTCATGCAGAAATTAGTGAAATAGTAGAATAAAACCCACCGAGAGTCCACACTTCCCTAAATCTTTCCATTCTCACCCATCTTTCTTGTTGTTTAGGAGCTATTAAAAGGTAGAGCACAGCCCCATGTCATTATATTTTCATCTGTGCTTCAATGTGCATCTCCTCAAAGTTAAGGAAATGTTCTTTTATAACCACCATGCCACTTGAGTAAATTTCTAAATAACAATTCGTTATTTGAAAATACGTGAGTCAGGAAGATCAGTAGTTCAAGGTCATCATCAGTTACTCACAGAATTTGAGGCTAGCTTGGAATACGTAAGATCTTGATATTCTGTCAAAAAAAAAAGCAAAGAAAATATTTCCTGTTTCTGTAGTACCCATATACATATTAAAAGTATATATATAAAGTACATATTAAAAGATAAAAAGACATAAAGCTAAAACTGAGGTAAGAATAAGATGGCAAAATTAAGCCAGCAACAAAAGTATTAAACACCAATTCACCCTGAAGATATTCTTCTTTTTTTTTAATTTTTATTTTTTTTAATGTTAGTTACAGTTTGTTATGAAGATCTTATTCTTAACTTTAAATCAACCGCTTGCTTCGCCGGGGGCTAAGGAGGAAGAAAACCCTGCCAGTCACAAGATTCAGTGTCGATAAAGGAGAAATAGCATCAGTTCTCCAGAGAACGTAGCTTTCCCTGTCCCTAAAGGCTGAGTGGAATTTCTCCTTGATATCTTCATGAAGAAGACAGTGTGAGATTTATTGGACAATACACTTTACAAAATCCCCACAATAAATACAAAAGCCATTTTGTGCTGCTCGGGTTAGCGTGCCCCGGTGGCAGGCTACAACAGAGCTGAGGTTCCGCTGCATAGAAGTCATCCGCTAAGGGCCAGAGCCTCACCTCACATCCACCTGGCTGCCGCCCTCCCAAGATAGAGCATAAAGCCCATTCATTTCAGATAAGCGTTTAATCTCCCTCGCAGACTCCCAGCATCCCAATTCCCCCATCAATAACCCAGTCCTGATTTTAAAAACTCAAATCCAGCTGTTACTACTTTCAAGGGCTGTTATCCATCGCAACTCAGCATGACACCAAATGTGTCTTCCGCGTTCATTCATCATTCGTGCATTTGCCCCGGTCACTGGATTTTTCTTCCCCCCGTTGTTCAGAAGGGGTGCAAATGCCAAAAGCAATCAATCTATGCGGCAAATCAATGTGAACAGCCGTCAGCGGGGAGCGCAAACCTTGCAGCATTTTTTCTTTCTTTCTTTCTTTCTTTTTACAAACAAACAAACAAACAACCTCTTCCCCATGGCTAGCTTTGCAGAGCTTCCAAGCTGCAGAGCAGCTTGAGACTGGGGGGTGGTGGTCCTGTCAATGATGCTGTCTGGGCAGCCCGGCACCCGGCACCCTCAGCTCTCTCCCTCCGCGCTGCGGCATGGATCCTCCTTAAGCGCTTGTCTTCCCAGCATCCTTCTACCTACTGAGGATATGTGTGGAGGTGCAAAAAAAAAAAAAAAGCAATTTCTTTGTGTCCTCTGTGAGTGTGACATAGCTCATTGCGTTTTTAAAGATTTCCTCTTGGCTTCTGCTAACAGCCTTTGCGAGCTTCCTGCAGTTCTGCTTAGCACATGCCTATAATAAACCTGTTTGATGTTGCCATGTCTCAGGAGTCCAACTAGAAAACATCCTGAAATCATATATTTATGTGAGTTGACAGTAAGGAACAATAAGAAAAAAAATATAGGAAAATCTGAGCACACAAATAATTTCTTATGAAATGTAAGAAAAAGAAAACAAAAAAAAATATTTAGGGAAAATTCGAACCACCCACAGTGGTAAAATATGTCCTATTCACACATTTCATGTTTTCCTGGGTAGAGCATTCCCGTTTTAAAACCCCAGCAACAGTTCCAAGAAACAAACGTCTTTGGAAATTTTGTTTCAGGGGAGCGTCCCTCTATGCATTTAAAATTTTTGCCTTCTGAAAATCGCCGCAAACAGCATGAAAAACACCAGTGCAGGAAACAGAATGGAGGTAATGGATGGCCTTTAACAAGAGGGGGATAAAAAATATTCAAGAAATATTATGTTCGAGTCACTAATGCTAATACTTAGGTAAAAATTATTCCCTGTAGGCAAGAAGGCAGGCAAGATGCCTGCAGTGTAACACATAAAGTAACAGGATTGGGGAAATAAACTTAGGAAGCCAGGAGCAGTTCCAGATCATTTTAGAAAGCCGTCAGACAGGGCATCTAGTGGGTAGAGAAGGGCTGTGAATACTTCACATGAGCTGGAAATGTCAGCTCGCCTTTATCTTCCAGTAGACCACAGAGGATTTTGTTGTTTTCAGCCCGTGGTATCCAGATTATTCTGTTTTCCGAATGCCTTTGGAGACATTTGCATTTTTTGCTCTGTCGCAAACTCTGCCCTGTACGCTTTCACTCAACCTTACTTTTAGGTTTATAGTTGTAATTAAATATTTCATGAGCATCCCAAAGGCAGTCTTTTAATTTGAAGTCTTCACACTAAAAGACCTACTGTTGTCTTACTTTCCTGTTTTTTGTTTTGTTTTGTTTTTACATATTTGCTTCCTAAAACCCAAACCACAAATTATACTTGCCTCACAGTGACTTTGTCTTGATTGAGGGCTTTGTGCCCAATCTGTGCTCAGTACCTGTAGACTTACAGTACAATCAAAGAACGCACATTTACATTTCAAAAAATTAAACTAGAGGCCAAAGTTTGGATAGTTGCTGGGAAAAGTCCGAACTCCATGTTAAAAACAGGAAGGATTTGAGGTTTAGAGGTGGTTCTATGTAGGATAATGTGTCATAAAAAGTAAGTGAAAACCCCCAGTCAAAGTCGGAGAGCTCATGTGGAATTAATTCTGGCAGAGATGGGTGGAAGCCATTTTTCTTTGCTTATGATGGATTATAGAAGCCATCCTTCTGAAGATCTGGAAGGTGTTGTGTCTGGTATGCCCTCTTTAGTGCCACTGGGGGAAAGCAGGGCCATTTACTCAGTGACTGTACCACAACAGCAGCCGAAGAAACCAGCCTCTGAGATCAGAGTCCTAGAGGAGTGTACTCCAGGAAGATGTGGGCATGATTAAAGTTTTTTGGTAACGAGCTGTTCCATGCTTTAGAAGTTAACATTGCTTCAAGTACTCAGCCCTTACAATGCACAGAGCGCCCTTCTGGAACTCATCCACTTCTCCGTCCACCATAGCTGAGTCTTTTTTCTCCTAATTAAGGGCTTCCAGTTCTTAATTGCCTAAATTTCTCTAGGGAAGTCTCAATTCACAAATCACAGATTGATTTGTTTGTGGTGGGACAAAATTACTGCTTTCCCTGTAGTTTTATATTCTCTTCTAAATACCTGTAAGAATCTATGATTGGGGTCATTCTTTCTATAAAGTAGTAGTATATTACAGGAGTGAGATTCTTAATGGCTTAATCCATATTTAGACTCACCATAGGCACCAAATCTCAAGTTTCATAATCAGCTTCAAGACTGGAGTAAAAAGAGGGATGGGGATTAGAGAAAATCCTTTAATTCCCTACATGATATTCTAATTTGAGGTAATAAATGAGAGTGAATATTCACTCTTTTTTTTTTAAATTAAACCTAATCCTTCCCAGTTTTTGCAGAGTGCACAGAGCATCCTGAATATACTTGGAAACTAGTTTTCAAGTAGCACGTCCTAGGAGTTCATGGTCAACAAACTATCTTCTTTAAATCTAGTCCAAAGACCCCAACCGCTTACTTGGAAGCATCCTGATTTCGATGCTGACATTGCTGGAGGTCTATAGAGCTGTTTGTGTTAAGAGAAGTGATTGGTTTTTCTGCCACTTCCCCAGCCAAGCAATGTCAGGAACATCTGCATTTTCTATTACAATGAGTAGCAAGCTGTATAATTATTATTTCAAATCCTGGGCGCATGTGAGAATTACAGGAATTGAGAATACTTTTTTTTTTTTTTGAGGCAGGATGTCTAAGCGTGTTGGTGGTTGTTTGGACATCAGCTACATACATAGCCTGGTGAATGTAACTCATCGGAATGGTAAGGAATTATATATGCACTTCCATTGGTTGGCATCATTAGGACATCGTTTTAAAACTTTGCTATTTGGGGTACAGCAGTTCTTAAACACAAATGAAAACATACGAGTTAGAGCAGCTTAGAAATCACAACTGGTGTCAACAGCCTGACTTTGCCAGAACATTCCATAGTTTAGCAAAAGTTGTATTAGAATCATCGAAAGTTGCCATGTGATCTTTCATTCATTTTTTTTTTTTCCTTTCTTTGCATGACCAGCTGATTAAAAGCTAGTGACACAGAATCTCCCAGCAACGAACATACCTCAGAAAACTCAGCTCCCCAGTTTCTGCTGTGGCTCTTCCTCTGACTCATGCTGGCTTTCCCCAAGGGGCAGTTGAGCTGCCCATTTCTACCATGTGATCAAGACAGTGGATGTACCCAGATCCCAGAGGACTTTCTCTGCTCTAGACATTCCCGACTAATCGGTATGAAAAATGTCTGTCGTAGTAAATGCCACTTTAATTATAAGCTTGCTTCAACTGGATTAGATTCAAAATAAGCATGCTTAAGACAAAAATGAGATCGGAAAAGCAAAATTAGTAATAGAGCCACTGGGACGAAAGTCCATTTTTATTTCACGATTAAGTGATTTCCTTTTCTAATTATCATTTTAACATATAGGCCATTATCCAATGCCTCATATTGGTTCACAAGTAATTCAGTTTCTTTTTCTGGGACTTCAGGTTTACCGTCTCTCTTTCTCTCTTTTTCAAGGCACCTGAAGTTTGGATGCAAGAGTGAAGCACTCTTCATAAATAGTATGAACAGGCGCTTCAGTCAGACTTGGTTTCAAAACCTGGCAGTAACACTTTTTAGCAAAATAATCTGTGTGCCATGTTTATTTCTCTCCGCTTTATCCTTCAGCCCCAGGATAGCAAGCAATAGTACTTACTTAACAGGGTGATTTTAAGGCTACATGAACAAGTACCTGTAATGCCTTTGGCAGATGGACTGGCGAGCACAGGAATGTGAGCTAAGGAATTTTAGCTATTGAAATAGAAAGGAGGATGCTTGCTAGATTCATGAATAAAGCTGGAATGCGGAAGACAGGTTCCCACTCTAGCCCTAGCTTGTAAGAACTGTGACCGAAAGCAGGCTGTTTCAGCTTTGTGTGTTCTTAGTAAATGCGACACGGAGGGGATAAAAAGACCAGTGTGACAGGTGTGGTTCTTGGGTGCCACCAATACAGGCTTCTTCTAAAAGATTACCTCATCTCTACTTACAAACGTGGAATAAAGTAGCCAGGAAATCTTTTTTTCTGAAATGCCCTGGTGGTAATTAAAGGAACAATTATTACTTAGAGACTCCCAGTGGAATCTTTTCTTCTTCTGGCCCTGTAGCTGAGAACAGCACCTCTTACCAAAACCATTCAAGTTATGAAGAAGCAGACTTCTTGCTGTCGGTGAGGGCTGTGTGACTGGAACGGGCAGAGTTATAAACACATCTTTCTATTGTGGATTCATTTGATGGGGATTTAGATATACCACGAGGGCAGCCAGTACAACGGGCCCTCAGCTTGGAACAGGCTCTAATCCGCAGCAGTCTGGGGCTGATAATGTGGGAGAACCCAATACCTCCGATGTTCTAAAAACGAGACTTCCTTTTCTAGTCAGAGATAAAAATACTGTCTGGGAAGCAGCTGCATTATAATAATAGGGTACACAAAAGAGAGTACAAGGTGGTTAATTTTATGCCAGAACGTGACAGAGTTAAACTAAAGCTACTCTTGGGCATCCATGAGGTTGTGTCTACAATGTGCTCCTGTGTGTGTGTGTGTGTGTGTGTGTGTATTAGAGTATGTCTGTGAGAGTATGTGTGTATATGAGAGCGTGTCTTTGAGAGAGAGAGAGTGTGTGTGTGTGTGTGTGTATGAAAGTGTGTTTGTGAGAGACAGAGAGAGTTTGTGTATGTGAGTGTGCCTGTGAGGGTGTGGCTATGTGTGTGTGAGAGAGACAGAGACAGAGACAGAAAGATGACAGGGAAGAAGGGAGGGTGAAAAGCAGGGAGGGAGAATAAGGGTGTGCCTGTGAGTGTCCTTCAGTGACATGTCTAGAGGGGAATGGCGCTTGAGTCAGTGAACTGAGGACAGTTCCTCACCAGGCAGCAACAAAAAATCCGCTGATGGCCTTAACAGAGCAGGAGAGTCAGAAGGGACTGAACTTTTCCTCATTTTCACCTGCTGCTTCCCTGAGAGCTCTGTGTCTCTGACCCTGAGACACCAGGTCTCACACCAGCATCTACCATGGTATCCGAATCCCTGGGTCTCTAGCTGATGGTGTGTTTTGGCACTTTTTGGCACTGTTTTGGCCTCTATTGCCACTTGGACCAATTCCCTAAAGACACCTC